TCTGCAAGAGAGTCTGTGGTTCTGTCTGTCTTTAAACACACACACACACACACACACACACACACACACACACACACACACACACACACACACACACACAGAGCCATTGTTGCATGTCTCCCCTATAATACTCCACTTTGCTCTCTCTCTCTGTGTCCTTATCAGCCTGCATGGTTGTTTTAGTTCCATTTATTTTCTCTCTTTTTTTTAGTCATACAAAAAATGGAATTGTATCGCATGACTTATAAATGCAGGGAGTTTTATTGCACAAAATCGGAGTCTTGAGCGCCCCCAGTGTTCGTATGGGGTAACTGCAAGAGCCAAGGCTTTGGAATAGTTACTACTACTGAGCAGGACCCTAATACTGTTGGACGATGAAGACTTAAAAATGATCAACAACACATGACTATTGCAGGATTTCACAGAAAAGGAAAATTAGGTCTCATAAATTTGCCTGCTGCATTTTGAAAGTCATGGCACCCTAACATTTGTAACGATGCTGCTTGTATGTTTCTTTTCTCGTTAATGTTGATGTTGTTATTTTATTATTATTATTTTTTGTTTGTTTTTAGAAAAAAAATGCCTACTGCTCAAATGGCCAACAGAATTTTCACAGCAGCACTGGCTGACCTCATGAGAAGCTCTTGAGAAGGTGTGCACGAGTGTGTTTTCCCGTTAAGGTGTATGTGTTTATGTTTGTGTGTGTGCGTGTTGTGTGTGTCTTCTCATGAGGCACGTGTCCCATTTTCAACCTGGAACAACCGATAATTAACCGAAACAATAGTTCAACTACATTAAGGTATAGATTGGTATCAGGCAACAAATGAAATATGCATCGCTTGTCTTAAACTTGATTTTTTTTCTCTTTTGTTTGAATATTGCACTGATGACTGTTGTTGAAAAGTTGGCTTTTATGTGTCAACATTTAATTTTTTTTCTGAATAGAAAAAAAAAGCAGACACAACAAAATACTATTGTATAAATATATGCTCCAGGTGATGATGTCCTAATGTGTGTATTACTTTGTGGAAAAAACATGATGTTTTTCAACAAAGACGTGTGTATCTCTGTGATTGGGTGTATGTATATATACATATGGATATATATATCGATGCTGAAGATGATGATATCTTGGGGCACTTTCTTTTCTGAAGTGCTGTCTTCCTGATTTTGTTTGAAAGGGGAATAATACATTTGATGGTAAGATCATTGTAACATAATAAAGAATTGCACGGTTGTGCAGTTATTTGGCTCGCTATGGTCATAACATTTATGACGTAAGGAGCCTGCTGCCGGATTGGTGTACACATTGAGATGATTTTTTTTTCTATAAAAAAACAAAAAAGGAAAAAAAAGGAGAAAAAAGAAAGAGAAAAAAGAATGAAAGAGTGCTGACTTCTTTGGGCCAACTTGTGTTTCTGGTCTTGCTTCATTGCAAGCAGGAGGAAACGGTTGATTTTTCATGTGTGATGCAGATGTTCCATCATCATGTCTGATTTTGGAGTTTTTTCGTGTGTTTGTTTGTATTCTTTTATTTTTGAACATTTGTAACACTGTGATGATGACATCATGTCATGTGGAGATGAGTGCTGTATTATTTTTGTACGTTTGTGTACAAGCCAGTAAAGAAATCATTAAACTTAAAATCCGCTGTGTATGCATACATTTCTTCCTTATGTCCCAAGCAAAAGCTACCCGCACCCCCCTCTCTTCACATTTTTCATTGAAAAGATTGGTTTGGGAAACACCTCCCTCACCCCCACACTGCTCTCTCTCTCTCTCTCCCTCTTTCCCTCCCTGTCTTCCAAGCAGGGCCCAACCCAGATGCCCATTCTCTCTTTTTTTGTCATTCATCTGGCCTCATCCTTTCACTGCCGGGATAAAGGAGCCCAGTGCATTGTGGGTATGCTCAGTTTAAAGAAGGGTCCCCTCCCCTGTGTGTGTTGTGGGAGAGATGGTTTTATATTACCCCCACACACAAAAACTTTTCCAACACACTCTTCTCGTATGCTCTCTTCCTAATGATTAAGACCCAGGCTTTGCACCACACTTCAGCTCTCTGCTAACAACCAGGACTTTTGTGTGTTTGTTTTACTTTACTTAACAGTCTCTTACTCACTATTTATACTCCCTATCAAATTATCTTCTTCAAAGCAAAACTAATTGTGGAGTTAGACTTCTAAGAAGTAAGACGACTTCCAAGAAGTCCGACTTGCTTCAAAATCATCCACTTTGTTGAGGCATTTTGCATCTTTTTTGTGATTTTTCTTGCAGCTTGTGTTCAAAATAATGTTGCATGAAATGGGCTTAAAAATGAATTGGCCATAAGTGGAAAAGGGGGAACTGTGCTATTCTGATATGTTGACTCTTTTACAAGCAAAATGGTTATGAAAGAGTGTATTAGTGTGTGCATTATGCTCTGATTTCTATTTCAGTTTTTCTTTTTTGCATGTGTGCTTCATTTCATGTCAGCATTGGTTAAAATGCAAAATCTGTTTTTTCTCCTGTTCATTTGAGTGTTTGAGTGAGTCACATCAACATCAACATCTTTCTTAGAAATGATGACTCGCAACTGATATTGCATAGCTGTAAAGCGGTTGGTGGGAAAACAGAGGCAACGATACGTTTTTCAACATGTCAGACCTGTTCGTATTGCAACATTTTCTGGGTGTTGACCAGCTTCAACTGTGAACGTTTGAGTAAAAAGGGTTTCCCATGTGTTCGAAATAACGGTCTTAGAGTTGCAATTCTGAGAGGAAAAAAAAGCAGTAGTGTTATAAGCTTTTTACTGACAACTTTGTGCCATTGTTGAAGCAGCTGTTAAAATCGGTGTCTGCACCGCAGCTGAACCATAAATGACCTCAGCTCAAAGTTTCAGCACTGATCTGATGTATTTGAGTTCCTCTAGACACCAGCCCTTCTCTGTTGTGATCCCATGGCAGGCAGAGTGTGTTATCTCGCCTGCTGCTCGCTTGCACATTTCTCCCCAAGTCCCTGCCTCCCTCCCTCTCAGTCTCTCACTTCTGCAGGATGTTTTTGTTGAGCTGCGTTCCCATTGTTCACACACTGAGTTGGCTGGCCTCCCAGCGTTGATGCTGGCTGCTAGGCCCCCTAATAGGTTCTTCATGTGCCTTGGCTTTCCTTGCTCATCTTGGTCATTGCATGGAGAAGCTTGCATTAGTGAGCCAGACAACAGATTTTTGGAGGAATTTTTGCAGAGAAGGCAGAGAGGGAAATTGTGATGGATAAATTGTCGAGGGAATAACTGGAAGTCCAGAAAACATAGGGGAATCACATTAAAATTGCTTCACTAAAAAATAAACAGGCCACAGTGGTAAAGAAAAAAAAAAGGACAGCCTTGTGTCCTTTTGCTTGTATAGTTTTTGTATGAAACACATAGAGGAGACAGTGTTAAAAGCTGGTGGGGTGATGTTATAGCAGCTGCAATCAAGTGCATCTGGGTGATTATTTGCCATCGCTATTCAAAAGCCCATTGTTCAGAGGCTCATAAAATATTCATATCTATGCTTCCACCCCTCATTTGAAGCGATGCACTTAATCTGAAACACGCAAGATTAACTGAACATCTTGTGATACATGTAAAATGCCATTTGACTGGTTTTGCAATGATAAATTCCTCTTTTTTTGTTTTGTTTAATCAGCACATGTTCAACATGTGTACAGTGTACACGAGAACTTCTGACTTCCTCAGAATACACTGATACAGGCTTGATTGCTCTCTGATTGGGTAGTAATGTACAACAAAGGGCTTCTCTGAATGAAACCTGTTGTATAATTAGGTTGAGAACACATATGAGGAACTTTTAAGAGTTACTGCAGGAGCACAATAACTCAGCCCTGTGTGACTGTCGAGCGATGACAGCCACACAAAGACAAACGCATTAAAATGTTTAATAGTGTTTCCACCATCTTGAATCAGACAACACAACATGTTGCAACTTAATTTCTTGTTGTCTACCCTGTGACAACAAATTGACTTCTTGCTCTATGCATAATCAGCATCAATTTTACTTGGCCAAGTTTGTGCACACAAACAAGGAATGTGACTCTCTGCACACAAAAAGAAACTTTTTAAACACAATTTTAAATGGACAGTTTATAAATAGGCAGCTCGACCCTGAAATAGCTGGAGACCTGATGGCTGAGTAACCATTACTGTTATGCTTCTTTGATATCTTCCACTTACTGTGATGTACTTGGTGCACCATAGTCTTAAGTTCTGCATAGACAAGTACGCGAGGTCAAAAAAAAGAAAAAGATGAAAATTGGCATCACTCAAACCGGAGTGGATCCCAGTGAACTTGCGGATAAAGAAATTATACCCAAGCCTTTACCCTTGCATCCAAATATTATCACCCCAGGCTCCAAAAACCTGCACAACAGCCATAATGCTAGAGTGGATGCCTAAAAATGGGACAAAGTCATGTTTATATCCATCTTTTATATACAGATATGTTTTTTTTCTCAAATTGATGATGTAAAAAAACTGATTCACCCTCCCGTTTGCTCTATTTTTGGTCTGTCAGACAGTTTTTTTGGGCTGTACCTTCTTTACAGCTACAAGTTTAAAATAATTTTTAAAAAGTGAAATCTCTTTGGTCTCCACACAGACTGTTTACTTGCATGCCACTGAAGCATACTAAATCAGGACTAGGACTCCAGGGGAAGCTACAAAAATGTCTTTTAAAGATAGATTCTAGATATTCATATGCAGATGCGTGTTTGTAGATACCCCTTAGTTTCTTAATGTGTCTGCTGTTTGGAGGAAGGACCCAGCATACAGAGATACTCTGTAGATACTGTATTCAGCCTGGATGGGTATTTCTCTAACAAGTAGGCTTGGTGATAAGATTGCTTATTGATTGCTTCCATCTCAGCTATTCTTACTTGTAACCATTATCATATTTTCATCCACTGTAAAACTATT